TAATCTGCCTGCCAAGCCAGCGGAGGAGGCCCAGAAGCACAGACAGCAGTATGAGGAGATGGTGGCCCAGGCCAAGAAGAAAGGTGAGCCTTCTCCCTTCTCCTCTCCTCCGGTGCCTCTGCTTCCTGACTGAAGCGCCTGTTGTTGTGTAGAGATGAAGGAGGCCCAGAAGAGGAAGAAGCAGCTGGAGGATCGATGCAAGCTTGAAGAGAGCATCGGGACTGCGGCCCAAATTTGGAACCAGGAGATCTTACCCCACTGGAGCACAATGTGAGCAGTGTTACCATAAATGTCTGGGGGGGGGGTCTCAGAGGTTCAGCAGCATCTTCTGGTCACGACGGACTCTTAGAAAGAAAACAGTAGATGTGATTTGTGAATAAAAGCTAAGAAGCTGAGTGTTGCTGACAGAAGATCCACCGTAAGTTTCAGTTCCAGCTCAGAAGTGCTTCTCCTGAAAGATGTGTGTCGATCATATTAAAACAGTTAAATGTTTATTTTGATTCGATTTAGGATCCACCTACGGATATGAAACCATTCAACAGGTGGTTGAACACGGTCGTGTCCCAGGGAGACGATTTTCACAGTTTTCTTACTGCTAGCTATAACGTTGCTAGCTGCTTCATTTAACAGAACCGTTGGGGGAACTTCAGAATGAAGCAGTTTTGTTGCTGTGTCAGTTTTTGCATCTTGGATCGATGTTGCAATCCTAACAAACTGGCTGTTAGTCTATTTCTCCAAACTGAGGCTGTTCTACGAGCTGGTCTGGTACAAATGCACCAATCTTTACTCCCTCAGTAGAACAGGAAGTTATAGTTGTGTATAATGATAAAGCCTTATGGCAACACAATATAACATTAAGTGTAGCAAATGAACTGTTAAACCTGCCGTGGTGCAGTTAGATACCAGTCTGCCACTGTCGCACGTTAATGACATCACACCAGGTCAGACCAGACTTTCCTGAATCCTTTCTGTCTGACACTGTTTAGTCAGAGGTCTGATGGGGGTTTTCAGTGAAACCTGAGAGAGCAGGTGCTGTCTGCCCCCACGTGGCCATGATCGGTAACTGCTGCTGTGCTTCTGTTCTAAACCCACCTGTCGTCCTGGCTGCAGGTGTACGTCTAGAAGAGTCAGGGAGCTCTGGTGGCAGGGCATCCCCCCAAGTGTCCGAGGCAAAGTGTGGAGCCTGGCTGTGGGCAACGAGCTCAACATCACACACGGTACGGGACTGCGTCTGGTCTAGATGCTGTTGAGTCGTCACGCCAGGCTTCTTACTCCGGTCTGGTCTGGCTGCACACAGCCTCCGATCTTTACTGTGGTTCACTTTAACGCTGTAATGGAGACGAGCAGTCAGGGGAAGGACTGGAGCCCCAGCTCTCACACACACACACACACACACACACAATAGCTGGTCTCACTGATTGTATCTGAACGGATGAAAGAGGCAAGAAGAGTGTTCCTCTTTGGAATAGTCGTGCTTCAGTGATTCCCCTCATTACAGGAGGTGACTCTAAACTCACTCACTCACTCACTCACTCACTCACTCGAATGGGCTTGACACACGGGAGGCGACATCGCCTCTCCTCCATTCATTTTCAATGAGACGTGCGCGACAAAGCGATAATCGCGGGTCTCCCTCCTACCAAGCGAAACGCGAAAAACGTGCGTGTGAAATTTTGCGCTCGTGCACGTGTCGTGCACAGGTGACCCAGCGACGCAATCCCAGAAAGTTGAAACATTTTCAAATTTTCATCGCTGTCACTCGGACGAGGACCAATCAACGGAGGTTTCATTCACTGACCAATGAGCGGACAGGATGCTCCGTACACCTCCGAGTAAACATGGAGGAGAAGTTGATTATTATTATGTTTTATAGTAAAATCAGAAGTAAGATTTCACATAACTCTAGCAGCACCTTGTGAAACATCATATCTACCACTTTATTAACTCTGAACCGCTTAAATAACCTTAATTCCCTCCAACCTGACACAGCCAATCAAAACAACGGAAGTTTCCATTTCGCCATGGAACAGAACGCGTCGACGGCTTTGCCGCTGGCCGCTGCCGCGGGTCGCCTCCCGTGTGTCAGGTAATAAAAGCGACAGTGACTAATTTCGCTGATCGCGGTCGTTTGTCGCCTCCCGTGTGTCGAGCCCCTAAAGATCAATTTTCCATTGCTGCACCAATCAGCAGTTCTTAAGTCATGCGTGTGTTTGGATGAATGGGTGTGTGTTCCTCTGATTATTGACTGCTGATGTGGCTCTCTGCTTTGGGAAGCTCCTCATAAATGGAACTGCAGTAAACACACACACACACACACACACTCCTCTCTCTCTCTCTCTCTCTCTCTCTCTCTCACCCCCTCTCTCTCCCTCACTCCATCACAAATCAGAAGCACTGCATCCTAGACAAACTCCTTTATGATTAAAAAGTGCTGATTGTGCAGTAATAGCGATTATTAGCTCTACGGTGGGTTCAGTGGTGTTGTGGCTACATAACAGTAATATGTGGGTACCCTATTATAACATGGAGATTGTTAAATTTCCCTGCTGAACAGGACAGAAACGTGTTATTAACACCTGGTGAGATTTGACCTGACCTTTAGGGTTCTGTGTTTGATCCCACTTGAATCCAACATGAGAAATGAATCCAGCTATGATCTAGTCCAGTGTTTCATCAGTCATCATTACCTTATTAGTGAGATGTGTCTAATTACCTACAGTGGGGCAAAAAAGTATTTAGTCAGCCACCGATTGTGCAAGTTCTCCCACTTAAAATGATGACAGAGGTCAGTAATTTACATCATAGGTACACTTCAACTGTGAGAGACAGAATGTGAAAAAAAAATCCATGAATTCACATGGCAGGATTTTTAAAGAATTTATTTGTAAATCAGGGTGGAAAATAAGTATTTGGTCAATAACAAAAATTCAACTCAATACTTTGTAACATAACCTTTGTTGGCAATAACAGAGGTCAAACGATTACTATAGGTCTTTACCAGGTTTGCACACACAGCAGCTGGTATTTTGGCCCATTCCTCCATGCAGATCTTCTCGAGAGCAGTGATGTTTTGGGGCTGTCGCCGAGCAACACGGACTTTCAACTCCCTCCACAGATTTTCTATGGGGTTGAGGTCCGGAGACGGGCTAGGCCACTCCAGGACTTTCAAATGCTTCTTACGGAGCCACTCCTTTGTTGCCCGGGCGGTGTGTTTGGGATCATTGTCGTGTTGGAAGACCCAGCCACGTTTCATCTTCAAAGCTTTCACTGATGGAAGGAGGTTTGGGCTCAGAATCTCACGATACATGGCCCCATTCATTCTGTCCTGAACACGGATCAGTCGTCCTGTCCCCTTAGCAGAAAAACAGCCCCAAAGCATGATGTTCCCACCCCCATGCTTCACAGTAGGTATGGTGTTTTTGGGATGCAACTCCGTATTCTTCTTCCTCCAAACACGACGAGTTGAGTTTATACCAAAAAGTTCTACTTTGGTTTCATCTGACCACATGACATTCTCCCAATCCTCTGCTGCATCACCCATGTGCTCTCTGGCAAACTTCAGACGGGCCTGGACATACACTGGCTTCAGCAGCGGAACGCGTCTGGCACTGCAGGATTTGATTCCCTGCCGTTGTAGTGTGTTACTGATGGTGACCTTTGTTACTGTGGTCCCAGCTCTCTGCAGGTCATTCACCAGGTCCCCCCGTGTGGTTCTGGGATTCTTGCTCACCGTTCTCATGATAAATTTGACCCCACGGGATGAGATCTTGCATGGAGCCCCAGATCGAGGGGGATTATCAGTGGTCTTGTATGTCTTCCATTTTCTGATAATTGCTCCCACAGTTGATTTTTTCACACCAAGCTGCTTGCCTATTGTAGATTCACTCTTCCCAGTCTGGTGCAGGTCTACAATTCTTTTCCTGGTGTCCTTCCAAAGCTCTTTGGTCTTGGCCATAGTGGAGTTTGGAGTCTGACTGTTTGAGGCTGTGGACAGGTGTCTTTTATACAGATAATGAGTTCAAACAGGTGCCATTAATACAGGTAACGAGTGGAGGACAGAAAAGCTTCTTAAAGAAGACGTTACAGGTCTGTGAGAGCCAGAGATTTTCCTTGTTTGAAGTGACCAAATGCTTATTTTCCACCCTGATTTACAAATAAATTCTTTAAAAATCCTGCCATGTGAATTCATGGATTTTTTTTTCACATTCTGTCTCTCACAGTTGAAGTGTACCTATGATGTAAATTACTGACCTCTGTCATCATTTTAAGTGGGAGAACTTGCACAATCGGTGGCTGACTAAATACTTTTTTGCCCCACTGTAAATGTTCCCCGTTGCTGTCAGCATGCAGGGATTAGATCTGCTGGTTTGGCAGGATCAAGGTCATCTCAGCAGGCTCACTTCCTGGATCTGGTCACTAGAGGGCAGCCACAGGTCAAAGCTCCGAGTGCATTATCGTTAGTGTTTCTGCTGCAGTGCTTTCATCACCTGAAGCGCTTTGTGTCCACTCGTACTGCTCAGTCCTTAACCCGTAACCCTCCTGCTGATGGTTCTGTGTTCCTGCAGAACTCTACAGCATCTGTCTTGCTCGGGCTCAGGAGAAGTGGAAGACTACAGCAGCACTCACCACAGACACTCAGGCTGAGGGTAGAGAGTCAACGCAAACCCTGTGTTACACTTGGTTTTATCTTCTGTCTCAGACACGTTTACACTGGTACCGTGTCTTTCAGACGTGTTGGGTTCTTCCGACCGGGAGTCGAGTCTGGAGCTGATCAAACTGGACATCTCAAGAACCTTCCCTCAACTGTGCATCTTCCAGCAGGTCAGTGATGCTGCTGGCTGTTGTGTCACGTGGTAACCGTTGATTAGGCTACAAAAGCAAGCGGGAGCCGGTCGTACTCTTAGATAAGTTACTAGAACCCTTTTCAGATTGACATTCTGGAATATGTGTGGACAGTTCAGTCCGGTTTTTAACCGGAACTGTGTTTTCAGACACACCACTTTTGTACCGGAACTTGTCCTTTCGGCTGCGTTCACACAGAAGGGAAAAGTTCCAGATAATAATTCTGCGCACACGAAGACGCATAAGAGACCTGGATGATGAAGCTCAATGGTTAAAGGAATCACTGAAGCGGTGTGAAGCGCTCCGTCGCGCGTCTAGACGGTACCGTTGGAGGCGAGCTGCCATGGTTCGCCGCATGCTACAGCAGCGGGCTATCTAGGTGTGCACAGCGTCCCCCGGTCCCCTCCTCCCCATCCTCCCTGTCCGGAACTCGACCTCACCAGTCTGAAGCAGCCACCTTGTCCGTAACAAGTCCGGACCTGTTACTAGGGGCTTCGTCCGATTAAATTACGGAAAACGTTATCCGGATGTTTGTATTCAGACACAAAGGTCTTACGGACAGAGTCCGGAACATTTCCGTTTTTCATGGCCTGTCTGAAGGGGGCTTAAGATGTACCTACTGGGTTTTCCACTTAACACGTTCCAGTGTGGACAAAAACCTAGCAGAGAACCAGCCTGGTTTCTACCAGGAACCTCCTCTCTATGTTCCGTCACACGTCTCCTCTGGTATTTATGCATGATCTGCTGGTTCTTTAGATCACAGGCGTGTCCTCCTGAAACATGGCTCCTATGAGCACTTAAAGTTCCTCCTCAGGTTTTCATTTAATTGTTGGATTTTCTATGTTTTAAAGTGTTTAAAGCTGTGAAGATAACGAGATGTTTGCTTCGATGTGATGAAGCAGTTAAATAGTAAATTAGAACATGTAAGAACTAATTTACGTGTCGATGTCGTCTGTGCAGGGTGGTGGAAAATCCTAAAAACTCACCTTAAATGTTCTAGAAGTGATTTGATGAAAGGCTCCGAACCCTGGGTGTGTTAATGTCTCCAACCTGTTTTATAAACACCGTCAGAGCTCTTTGTGGAGACTGATATTACTAAATCCCTGTGGTTACTCACCAGCTGGTGTTTACAAACGTTACTGCATACAGACATCATTTAGGGTGGGTTAATAAACAGCTGGTGACTTTAAAAGAACTAACACGTTTTATAAACAGTGTTCATGTGAGACGGTGGCTGGTGTTGGGGTTAGGGTTACTACTTTACATTGTGGACTAAATACAGACTGCAGGAAGATGAGAACATCGGCTAAATCACTGATTAACCTGTCCTTGTTCCTCAGGGCGGGCCCTATCATGATGTGTTGCACAGCATTCTGGGAGCGTACACCTGTTACCGACCAGATGTCGGCTACGTGAGTCCCTCAAGCACACCTTCCCACCATTACATCACCCACGTCATCATTACATCACCCACGTCATCATTACATCACCCGCGTCATCATTACATCACCCACGTCATCATTACATCACCCACGTCATCATTACATCACCCGCGTCATCATTACATCACCCACGTCATCATTACATCACCCACGTCATCATTACATCACCCACGTCATCATTACATCACCCACGTCATCATTACATCACCCACGTCGTCATTACATCACCCACGTCGTCATTACATCACCTACGTCGTCATTACATCACCCACGTCGTCATTACATCACCCACGTCGTCATTACATCACCCACGTCGTCATTACGTCACCCACGTCGTCATTACGTCACCCGCGTCGTCATTACGTCACCCGCGTCGTCATTACATCACCCACGTCGTCATTACATCACCCACGTCGTCATTACGTCACCCACGTCGTCATTACGTCACCCACGTCGTCATTACGTCACCCACGTCGTCATTACGTCCCCCACGTCGTCATTACGTCCCCCACGTCGTCATTACATCACCCACGTCGTCATTACATCACCTACGTCGTCATTACATCACCCACGTCGTCATTACGTCCCCCACGTCGTCATTACGTCCCCCACGTCGTCATTACATCACCCACGTCGTCATTACATCACCTACGTCGTCATTACATCACCCACGTCGTCATTACATCACCCACGTCGTCATTACATCACCCACGTCGTCATTACGTCACCCGCGTCGTCATTACGTCACCCGCGTCGTCATTACGTCACCCGCGTCGTCATTACGTCACCCGCGTCGTCATTACATCACCCGCGTCGTCATTACGTCACCCGCGTCGTCATTACGTCACCCACGTCGTCATTACGTCACCCACGTCGTCATTACGTCACCCACGTCTTTATTACATCACCCACGTCGTCATTACATCACCCACGTCTTTATTACATCACCCACGTCGTCATTACATCACCCACGTCGTCATTACATCACCCACGTCGTCATTACATCACCCACGTCGTCATTACATCACCCACGTCGTCATTACATCACCCACGTCGTCATTACATCACCCACGTCGTCATTACATCACCCACGTCGTCATTACATCACCCACGTCGTCATTACATCACCCACGTCGTCATTACGTCACCCACGCCGTCATTACGTCACCCACGTCGTCATTACGTCACCCACGTCGTCATTACGTCACCCACGCCGTCATTACGTCACCCACGCCGTCATTACGTCACCCACGCCGTCATTACTTCACCTACGCCGTCATTACGTCCCCACGTCTTTATTACATCACCCACGTCGTCATTACATCCCCACGTCTTTATTACATCACCCACGTCGTCATTACATCACCCACGTCGTCATTACATCACCCACGTCGTCATTACATCACCCACGTCGTCATTACATCACCCACGTCGTCATTACATCACCCACGTCGTCATTACATCACCCACGTCGTCATTACATCACCTACTTCGTCATTACATCCCCACGTCTTTATTACATCACCCACGTCGTCATTACATCACCCACGTCGTCATTACATCACCCACGTCGTCATTACATCACCCACGTCGTCATTACATCACCCACGTCGTCATTACATCACCCACGTCGTCATTACATCACCCACGTCGTCATTACATCACCTACTTCGTCATTACATCCCCACGTCTTTATTACATCACCTACGTCGTCATTACATCACCCACGTCGTCATTACATCACCCACGTCGTCATTACATCACCCACGTCGTCATTACATCCCCACGTCTTTATTACATCACCTACGTCGTCATTACATCACCCACGTCGTCATTACATCACCCACGTCGTCATTACATCACCCACGTCGTCATTACATCACCCACGTCGTCATTACATCACCCACGTCGTCATTACATCACCCACGTCGTCATTACATCACCTACGTCGTCATTACGTCCCCCACGTCACATAAGCATGGAAATGTTGGTTATAGGAGACATTTTCAGTTTGATGCTGATATTATTTATAATATAATAATATTTAAACTTTGATCATCTTAAATATCCGTAAACATTTTAATATCTGATCTGTTTCCATTACGTCACTTTTTTTTACTTTCCCCGTTGTTGGTGAGTCCCGCGTCTGTGTGTAAGCTTTAGCTTCTGTTCCAGCGCTACTGATGGTCTTCAGGAATGAAAGTGTTGGGGTGATGATAATCAGCCTGATGGATATGAATACCAGCACCCAAACGTCCCACTCAATACCTGCAGGTTACTCTGTCGCTCAGCTTGTGGTTGGAGTGACTCGGTGTCACGCGGACCTGAGCGGACCCGAGTGTGTTTGTGAAAGGCCGGCGTTTACTGTGAGTCGAAGAGACTGATGAGAATAACCAGTAAAACAAACCGGCCCTCAGTCTGTGTTTTATTTAGTGACTGGGAGAAGCTGCCGCAGCGTCTGAGTGAGAAGGACGGAAACATCATCATACTTTTTATTTCTACACTGAACTCGAGCCGTTTTTATCAGGCTTCTGCCATTTGGCACAGAGTAATGTAACCTACCCATCCTGTTTAAACAACATAACTCTGGTTTAAGGATACCTGACTTGGTTCAAAGGATCTGACACCAGAGTCGACTCAAAACAAACAAAAAATCTCTAACGTTGACCTTTGAACTCAAAATGTTAGATTCCCAACCAGCCCTGTGCTGAAAGTCCAACATGGTGACCTCACACATCAGTGCTCAGTTACAAGTACAGGTACGTGGGTTTAAAAAGCAGAGTGTGGACTTGACTTGGACTCGAGTCAGACTCGAGTCATTATTTTAATGACTTCTGACTTGACTTGATAAAATCTATAAAGACTTACGACTTGACTCTGACTTAAACACATTTGTGTTTAAGTCAGACTTGCGACTCGAATCAACTTGCATCTGTTGACTTGATGATGACTTGAGCATATTTGATATTTTAGCTCAAAAGTGACACGACATGGACAAAAATCATGAATCATTCTTGGTTCTGGGTTAGATTTACTGCTGAATGCAGCAGCTCTTTGTTTATCATCCGTTTCAGTTTCTGCTGTTGGAGCAAATAAACGAAGCTTTAAGAAGCTTTAATTCTGGAATTTATTTATTATCATCGTCATTAAATAGAAGTTAGACAGATGACTTGATTATGACTTGAAAACTCAAAGTTACAGACTTGGACTTGACTTGGACTTCCACATCATTGAATTTGGACTTGACTTGGACTTGGTTGTCTTTGGCTTGGACTTGACTCGAGACTTGACTGGAGAGACTTGTGACTTGCAAAGCAGTGACTTGGTCACACCTCTGTTAAAAAGACCTCTGTGGAAGATGAAGTGTAAATTAAACTATTAACTCAATAAAAGTCAAATAAAAATACTAGTTTCTAAACTAAAAGTATCAAAGTCAAAGTAAATTAAGGTGTAAAACACATCAATAATACCCAAAATGTCTACGTAAGTATGGTAACAAAGTATTTATACTTAATTACTTGATACCTTTGCACGTAAACATTCCATGTCGCCATTGTTGTTCTGTTTTCAGTTATACAGTCGTAAGGGATTAGCTTCCAATGCTAACAGTAGTTAGCATGGTCACAACACTGCTAACAGGAACACATTTAGGTCGGGTCTGACATCATTCCTAGTGGAGTACAGTGTTTAATTACACATATAGCATAAAGTATATTTAAGGAACCCGCCTGTGGGAATGATCAGGCTTAGCTGTGTTACGTCTAAAGTCTTCCTGGTGGAAACGGTTCCTGTAACAACAGAACATGCTGACTATACCGTCTTTTTGCTGTGGTTGATTATCAAATCATTCTAATCCTTCAAAGCAGAGCGTGTTAAAAACGATTTTGTGTGAAATAGTGTGACAGGTCACTGGTAAAATGAACGTTTGGGATCCTCACACCCATAAAACCAGCACACGGAGAGGAGTCTCCGCGTCATGCTGACGGAACATTACAGCAGCTGATCTTTACATCTGTGCAGCTGTTTGCTACACGTTCGGTTTAGGTTGTTGTTGGACTGAGACCGGCAGCAGATGGACGCTGTAGTGATGCTTCATGCAGACAGGCTAACATTTACTACCTTTGTGCTCACTACATCAACCACATCCTGTCTGTGTTTGGATAGAAATGAGTGTGACTTCCTGTGCTGACCTCAAGCCATGAACGCACACACACACACACACGCACACACACAGCTGTGCAGTCACCTCTTGCTTGCATTTTTTCTTTGCTTCAGCCTCGATGAGCTTCAGTTTCCGGTTTGGGTTCTTGTTGCGACTCACTACCGCTCTGAGTTTCACAGACATAAGTCGGATCTGTACGATGTTCCTTTAGGACCTGTTGGTGAAGAGTCTAAACCCTCTGCTGGTTGTGTTCAGGTGCAGGGGATGTCCTTCATCGCTGCCGTTCTCATCCTGAATCTGGACACGGCCGATGCCTTCATAGCTTTTGCCAACCTGCTCAACAAACCCTGTCAGATGGCCTTCTTCAGAGTCGACCACAGCCTTGTCAGTACACCCCCCCCCCCACCCCCCACCCCATTCACACAACCTTTATTTTACAGGGTTCATATGGGTGCTTGAAAAAGCTTGAATTTTAATGACGTGGTTGCAAGCTATGGAAAGTGCTTGGTTTCTGTATTAAGTCTTTGAAAATGCTTGAAAAACAAACTGCACAGTTTTGTATATAAGAGCAACCAAGAAAGTTTGATGAAAAACAGAATTTTTTATTGTTATTAACAACAAAAACTACAGAGCAATCGTTTCGCCTTTAATAAACATGGTTGCTGCTGCTCTGAGAGGGTCCGCTCCTTTCTGTAACACCGGTGTGTGAGCAGTGTGTGGCCGGCGGTGGGCTCCGCTCCGGCCTAACTACGGAGCAGACCTATGAAGCGTTTATGCTAGCTGTGTGGGTGAGGGCCCTGATTATAAAATCAAGACTGGAGTAGAGCAGGGTGCGGGAGAAAAGGTACCATCTTCTATGGTGCTAAATATTGGTACTGTTCCGATAAAACGTCCTTGTTATAAGCCGCAAAGCTCCTCCTGCTGTTAGCGTCAGACGTGGGCTGTTCAATCACAAACTTCGTTTACACAACATCTCCGAGTTAGCAAACTAATAAAATACCAGAAACAGTCCAAGTTTCGTCTGCATCTTGTTAAAGGAAACGCGTAAATGTAACATCCACGTTCAGATTTGTGTCGCTAAACATGGAAGCACCAATCATTTAATGAACCACCTCGTCCTTCATGGCATCTAGTGAGCCAAAGCATGGGCCGTGTTTGGCTGCGAATGTAGACCTGACCCTCTATGGCAAGCCGTTTTAACATTTATTCTACAACCGCACCTGCTAGTAATTCCTATTGCTATGGGGAGTAGAATCATCCCTATAAATGTGAGGTGAGGTGAAACAGGCCTCGAGCATTGTTTTGTCTTCACCGTATTGTGTTTAAAGTTTGAAAATTTACCTTGAAAATGCTTAAAGTGCTTGAATTATTCAGCAGGAAAAGGGTAAGAACCTGATGTTCGTATCCGTACGTCTTCACGTCCTGCCTGAGCTAACGTTAGCCGTTCACACGCGGGTTTGTAACGTAAATTCAATTCAATTCAAGTTTATTTATAAAGCGCCAAATCACGACAAGAGTCGTCTCAAGGCACTTCACATAATAAACATTCCAATTCAGGTCAGTTCATTAAGCCAATCAGAAATAATGTTTCCTATATAAGGAACCCAGCAAATTACATCAATAATAATTATCTATAATTTAAGGTAATAATATTAATTATCTCTAATATAAGGTAATAATATTCATCTATAATATAAGGTAATAATATTTATCTATAATATAAGGTAATAATAATTATTATTATAATATAAGGTAATAATAACATAAAGTTAATAATCCGACTCTCCTCTTTCAGATGCTGACATATTTTGCAGCTTTTGAAGTCTTCTTTGAAGAGAACCTACCAAAGCTTTTTGCACATTTCAAGAAGAACAGCTTGACTCCTGATATTTATTTAATCGACTGGTGAGTTTTTGTCCTCCTGTGCATTGTTTCTGTTCTGATATTACTCTTAATGATAACTTGACCAACTCTGTGTGCCGTTGTGTCGTCTGACACCTGAAGCTGTGACCTTTTGTGTGTTTAGTGAGTCGGGCGATTCTCAGAAAACAGGAAAAGCTGACTGAGCTTTCGGGGTGAGAGTGCAGACTCGTGTGCACGAGTGTCAGCGGTCTGTTCTAAACAGTTATTCCCTCTCTCACCACCCACCACTCAGGCTAAGCTCACAGATCTGGTCTGAAGCTTCGGGGCAAGCTGTTAATCACATTTTATAACGATAATCTCTAGAAATTATTACGCTAACATCACTTTTATTTTGGGTCACGTGGTGGCCGTCCGAACATGTTTGAGGTATAAAATCCTCTTTTTATCCAGTTTAATTCTAAACACGGTAAAAGGGAAACAGGAGTTTTCTCCGGTCTGGAGCATGCAGGCGTGTGTTAACACCACTGGTTATTAATAGTGATGCAAACACGGAACAGACACCTTTTACCTGACAGCTCTGCGGTTGTTTAGGGTGTGGTCCTCCTACCTGATATCCGCGTGTGTCTCTGATTGAAGGGCAGAACCGCCTGCATCAGAAACGGGAGGCGGGTCCAGTTAGACCAACAACCAAATGTTCAGCTGTAATGAGTTAACTCAGTAGTGGGACGACGGGGTTACCAGTCGTGTAGTGAAAGTGGGTTGGAACGCCTCGTAGAGCTGCGTTCACCATCGACGGTTCTACTGGACGTGGTTCAAAACCTCGTTGGCTCTTCTGACTCCTCCAGCTGCTCCTGGTTGTGTTGAGCTATAAACTCATGAATTCTGATCAGAGATCAGTAGAGTGGGTTCGGACTGAGACGACCCCTCTGATCTGTGGAGATGAACTGTCTCCCTACACTGTGATCCTCTACCGAAGCCTGACCTAATAGGACCTGTTGGACCTGTCCAGGATCTTCACGCTGTACAGTAAGTCGCTGCCTCTGGACCTGGCGTGTCGGGTGTGGGACGTGTTCTGCAGGGACAACGAGGAGTTCTTGTTCCGCACGGCGTTGGGCCTGCTGCGTCTCTATCAGGACGTCCTGACCACCATGGACTTCATCCACATGGCCCAGTTCCTGACCCGGCTGCCTGACCTCATCCCAGCCGAGCAGCTCTTCCAGCACATCTCTGCTGTCCACATGACCAGCCGTAACAGGAAGTGGGCCCAGGTGGGTGTTCCTTAGTTCTTGCCTGGTGTTGTCCCTCCCTCCTCTCCCGTGTCTGATGGTCTACCTTCTGCAGGTCCTGCAGGCATTGACGGAGCAGAAGAAATCAGCAGCCAGACAGTCCGGAGCTGAAGTGCTGAGCTGAGATGAGGGGCAACAATAAACCTCTCCAGCTTTCAGGAGAACCCCTCACCCGGCCAGAAGGACCTGAGAGGTCCAGTCCTACTGTAGCTGCTGTGATGAAGCTCCGTATCGCTGCTCTGATCCAAACCAGCATCCCAGAGGAGGGTCTGAAGCAGGGTGGGAACCAACCTGAGGCCTTATTTAACTCCCCCCTCCTCCTCAGAGGCCCAGTGGCGAACTGGAAACTGTAGCTGGGAAAAGCTGATGAATGTACCCCACACTCCCACGCTCCCCATCCTTCCCTCAGCGTTTCCTTTGGTTTCTTCATTTATTACTCCTGTTTTAATCTCATCTAATCTGAAGTCCAGTTTGGGTTTGATCTGTTCTCCGTGTTTCACCCGACAGCAGAGAAGAGTCGTTTTAGTGCTGAGATTAGAGCAGAAGAGCTAGTTTTCATCCCTGAATACCGCTACTCTTTAATCTCCTAAAGCCGGTTTCTCACTGGGCTCAAACGGTTGGTGACCAGTCACTGAGCGGTGAGGGACTTGTTTAGGGTCACTCAACTGGTTACATCCCATCCAACCAGTCACAGCCCAGTGAGGAACTGGTCTGGTCCTCAGATCTGAGCTTTAAAGGCGACCTCTGTCCTCGTCTGTTCTACAAATCAAAGTTTCGGCTGGAATGTCGACTTTAAACCGAATGATCCCACAGCACTTTTTGTTTCCAGCGAATGTGTAGTAATCTGTCTGGAATGCTTGAACACTCAGAAACCGAGTCTCAATAAAGCTTTTACTGTTTAACAGCATTCAAAGGAAACCGATGCTTAATCAGGATGAGGTATCAAAAGTCATTTTGAGTTTGATAATCCAGGGTTTGGGACGTCTGGATGCCAGGCCCACCTGGACTTCTGGTGTTTGCTGTGCTGTCAGCCAAGCGTTTGTGGTGCGTTAACACTTTGATGAACGTGTCACCCCGCCCTGACCGGGAGTGGGCGGGGCCTATGCCTGTAGCGCAGTAGGGGTTATTTTTTAAACAGTTTTAATGATAAACTCATTTTTAAAAAACCTTTCCTGTTCCTCAAAGTTTTTATTTATCTCAAACACGATTTTCCAGTCGGGCTTCATCCTGTAAAGCATCCAGGATCTCTAAAAGAGTCGATGAAACGGTCTTGTGATTGTTTGTCCTGTTACCTCTCTGTCCTCTCTCTTCGTCCTCCACAGAGGACACACTGTCATGGCGCTCGGAGACCAGAACGGAGCTCGTATTTACCTTAGCTGTTAGTTGACTGTTTGCTGGTTTTCAGTGTGCAGCAGCAGCAGACTTGCAGATCCCCACCCCCCCCCCCCACCCCCGGCCCCCCCGGCTGTGGTCACACACCACAGGACTGCAATAAAGCTTTTTGCACAAACATGTAAGCCTTTTGCATTGAGCTGCGCCTCGTGTCATCCTGTCACATCATCAGTCATGGTTGAAGCGGGTTTTCCATTTCACCTCGTTTTCTCTTTCTATTTGTGCCGGTTGCTGTGTTTATTGTGCATCAATGGTGAAAACATGTCTCCAAAGAGATGTTGGTTACTATTAAGTTGTTACGTTAACGGTAAACTCGTTTTTATCAACACTTATCTGCTCATTCCTCCATCCGCCCTAAATGTCGCTTACTGCTGGATGGAAATCAGGACGTCTTTTTATTTTCTCTTGATTTTCTTTGAACAGACCCGTTAGAGGACTGATAGACGTGTGGAGATACCCGAGGGTCATCATGCAGTTGTATCACTTGAAATGTATTTAAATGATGTTTTAATATAATAAAATGATGTACATATGCAGAGGCTGTGGTGTCTTCGTTAAACCTCTAGAGATCAGAGTTTACCGGTTTCATGATAATCTTGAGGGTTTGGTGGTTGCTGTTGCCCCCAATGACAGTTAGCATTAACTCTAGGGTGACCACTGACCACATGATTTAATTACCCCAACTTTAGCTCTTAGCTATGAATAAACAACGGTACCTAAACATCCTCCCAGAGGAACTTCTTCAACCACCCAACAACAGTTTGGTGATTAAGGACTGGTCCAGTAGACTTAAGTCAGAACTGAGTGGATGAAGAACCAAACCTGCTAAGATCCGGTCCAACGAACTCCTCAGATCACACACAACTTGTGGTCAAACCTCCAGAGGCAGGAGGACAAAAATGATCTTGGCAAACCTAAAACATTATTTTAAAAGAATCAGATTATTGTAAAACTAGCAAATGTACCAACACCAGTTCTTGTAACAATCGAATTCCCTGATAAAAGACTGAGTTTTAATCTGTTTCCGAGCTTTTAACATTTCTGAGGTGTTTAGAAGTGGTAAACAAGTTCTTTAGGTGCCACCATCACTCTTTGAGATGCACTTTGGGCTAACCACAAAAGCATTTCCTCTAATCTGCTCCTACATCTAACCGAGTGGAAAGTTTTAGTCAGTCAAACCACAATCACCCCCCACCCACCCAAACACCTAGCAGTTTTTTATATGATCTGCTATAAACACACCTCCAGCCCTCGGTTAGAGTAGACGCCCGTAAACCTGGTGCAACTTCATCATCTACTGAGGACTATCTGCTCATCATGAGGACCACTCACAGCCTCCTGCTCTGCATCCTGGGAGCTGCGCTGATCTGTGCTGCTCTCTGCAACAGTAAGATATAGATGATCAGACTGTAAATAGACATGTCTACTCAAAGATCACTGGTGGTGGTCCGAGGGACCGTGGCGCCTGTGCTGTGTAGCCTCGCCTCTGTCGGTGCGGCCCGTTGTTGCTACATCATAGCTCATCTCCACCAGCATGTGAATGATACACTAGTGTAGAGCACTTTGGAGTCCTCTGGCTCTGAAAGGCGCTGCACAGGTGCGGGTCATTTGTTAATGATATCTTCTCTCCAGATGCAAATGGTCCGGACAGATGCTGTTTTAGGTTCCATCAAACACCTGTTAACAAAAAATTCATCACTTCGTATATCCTAACAGATGTCCGCTGCCCCAAAGCTGGAGTCATGTAAGTGCTGCTGATCCGGATTGTCCGATGTTAAAATGTGATTATTTTCATCTCTGCTATCAGTATAAAGAAAAAAATATAATTTATTTTGATACAGTTTCAACACACGAAAAAACCGTACGCTCTGTGCTGACCCAGAGCTGCCCTGGGTCCAGAGCATCATTGCTAAATTGGACAAAGAGTCCTTCTAAAGGAGCTGCAGGACCTGCCTCGCCACATCACTGACACAGCTGCATGGTTGGGGTTATTATATAACTGCTTTTCTGTTGTTTCCAATCAGAGTTTTTACTTGGAGTCATTTACCATCTGAGTGATGTCCTTTAGAAACTACGCTTTATTTAATCATGTATTCCTAAAGCTTTTTATAATGTAACCAGAAGTGTTCCAGTTCTGATTTCTCTTTGCTGTTTTCCAGAAAATGTGACTTGTTTTCTCTAAGATTTAAAAACTAATAGAACTATTAAATGGTAATGTCTTTGTTAACTTAATCTGAAGAATTAACTCAAATAAAAACATCTATGAGCTGCCTTCCACTCTTTAGCAAAACACACACACACACACACACCAATTAAAAATGTAATCTCCATCCACATCCTGACAGAATTATCCTCTATTCTGTCTCCATTTTCTCTGCTCTTGTCTGGGCTGACGTAGCTGATGGTGCGGTACCCTTATGAAAGAGTCCTACGGTGAGAGGTACATATAAGAAGTGCAGGTAGAGTTAGAAAAATTCGCAGGGCCACAAACACATTACGGAAGATGGACTGTAGACTATTTTATTAGCCCGAAAATGATCATGGTTCTATTTATATTACATTATTCATGTGGACTCTGCTGGGATGCTATTTTAGCGGTCGGTAGATCTTTTTTAACTGCAGTTCAAAGGTAACTCATGAGGTGAATATATATGAAGCCAGGGAGCAGTTTTTCTTTAGGATTGAGAGGAGATGCAGGAAGATGATAAACAGACAGGACAGAAAACATAGTCAAATAAAAACAAGTTCGTTTTTGTACCTGCTGGTTGCAACAAACACCATTGAAGGTAATCAGAAGTGAGGAACAGAAAATTCAATGATTCTTCCAATGTTTGGAGCAGCAGGAACTCTGACCCCGGCTTTCCACAGGAGCCGTCAGCAGCACGTTGCTGCAGCTTCACGTCATAGCTGCTGATAGGAACCGCTGTGGTCAACAGAACCTTTTCCACTGGAGCCGTCAGCAGCACGTTACTGCAGCAGCACGTCATAGCTGCTGATAGGAACCGCTGTGGTCAACAGAACCTTTTCCACCGGAGCCGTCAGCAGCGCGAGTCGGCCGCATCTCAGGAGCAGCATGTCGCGGCCTTTACGCGCCGGTTCTATTTTCCACGCACGACGCCTCTGAAACGGGTCAATTTCGACATTTTTGGGGAAGGAAAGACAGGAAATCGGACGCGGAAATGGAGAGAAGCTCCCGAGATTTTCAGAATAAAGAACGTACTGCCTTCCGGTTGCTTTACTTTTAAAATAAGTTACTGAATGTGCGTCCCCGTGAGAAGTTATCACATAGCTAGCGGTCTCCTTTGTTTTTCAGGTCCGTATTGGCGATTATAAAACGGGCAGAACATAAAACACAAACCATGTTGTAATCTTCTCCTGCTTGTTGTGTTTACTGATTAAGTCACTCGTGTGACTTCGTGCTCGGTCGGTGACAGCTGCTCCCCTGCTGCTTCGCGTCTCGTGGGAAGGGCCAAGCAGCAGCTTACGCGAGCAAGACGTGCTGCTGCAGTAACGTGCTGCTGACGGCTCCTGTAGAAACCCGGGGTTAAGAGGCTGCAGGCGCATCAGTGAGTTTGTGTTCGCTGCGCAGGGGGAGGGGGGAGAGGGCTAAAGCAGGAACAGTAAAGATGCAAAAACTACCGTTGTTAAAAGAAATGTGTGTTAACTTAGAAAATGTGGGCACAATTTTAATTACTTGTCAACATTTTTCTCCAGCGTTAAGACTGCTGCACACACACACACACACAAAAAAAAGACGGCTGCTTGCATGGGCCCCCTTGTGGCTGTGGGCCCCTGGGCCTGTGCCCAGTTTGCACATATTATAGTCCGGCCTTGTGGAGCATGGTCGCTGACAACTATGGGGTGTATCTCAGTGTCTAAAATGTCTGCCAGCAATGAGCTGCTGACTAGAAAATAACCCAAACGTGAATGCGAGTGATGGACGTGTGAGAAAAAAGTATACTCTCTCGGGTTAGGATGAAGAGATCGCCATGCATCACAAAGCCCATAATCACTCATGTACTGTTTAACTATGTTAGTGGATTGCCAATTGCGCCGAGTCCCTACTGTGTTGAACCCATCTGTTAAAGTATCCATCCAAAAATTAAAATCGCCTCCAAGTATAAGTGGACAGTGTTCGGAGAGTACAGAGAAAAAAATTGTCAGTTTTCAATGCTTTGGGTGTGAGAATGTGTTGATTTTACAACATATGTATAAACTCAAAGTAAAATAATTGTAGACATGCCAGAGTATTAGCTAAGATATATGTAACTCCTAATTTCTTTGAACAAGTTGTAACAAAGAAAACTATTTTGTTTGTCGACGTCATCATGACGAATCGACTAAATGGGGCAGCACTAATTTAGATAGAACCAGGATATTTTTTTGTTGGGTAGAGGGCTTCCAGGTGAGTGTCACCTTTTCGGGTGACCCGAGCTCCCCCAACATTTGAACCCTGGTAACAACCAACGATATATGTGGGAAAACCATGAAGATTAAAAAGGCTGCCCAAACATTCACATCCCACTGTATGTCTATGGAGCAAACCATACCAGTGCGGGACCCGGACCCAACCCCGACGCTACCCAGCCCAGACCAGACCTGGCCGATGTGGAAACGGCATAAACTACAGGTGTTATCGAGGGAAAAGTTAGCCTGACTGCTGAGACGCCGCATGCCTGCCCCATCACTGGGCTTCGCTAAATACAGCTGCATGTTGAGAAAGTAAACAACTTGTAAGAGAAACACAGCTACTTTTAAATATATTCATAAAATAAACAGCTTGTTAATCACTGTACTTCCTAAATAAGTGAAAGTGAAACCTAAAGGACAAATTCAATGTGTTTCTCATTTTAAAGTGACAAAGTGTAGTTTTGACTGTTAATCTCTGTAAATATCAATCAAAATGTTGTTAAAAGTGTATTAAATGATGCCCAGTTGTTGAAAAATATTGGTGGCTTTGTAACAAATGACCATAAAAATCAGGTCTAAAATGCATGGAAGCTGGTCAAAGGCCAGAACCCAATACTCGCACTGCGCCCTGCGGTCTTCAGCAAAGTGCACTTGGGGAAAGTGCGCAGTGGGGTTCGAGTGCATAGTGCACAAGTGTGCAAATAATTGCAGAATTGAGACCGGGAGCATTGCGTCATCGATCGCAATGCATGCCGGGATGCTGGTCGCTGTAAAACTTGTTTCAAAAACCTTTATTAACAACTTTCAAACAAACAACAAACCATTTATTTGAAATTAATTTTACTTCATTGCTGCTTTGTCTAAAACATTCAGAGCATCAACTAATCGTCCTAAAATGAACTAATTTCATTGGAAAATACATATTTTCAGAAAAGGAACTTGAGCCTTTTCTCCCGCAGCAATGACTTGTGGGTAATTCCCTTGCCCGAGGTCCACATCGTTGCAGACTTGGGTGAAGTGAGATTAAGGGTGCAATGGGGGCGTGGTCAACTTCAGCACTTGAGAGTCGGGACACCCTACACACTCGCACCCCTGGCCGGGAATGTGCAAATGAAGGGCGCAAGGGTGCTGGTGCGAGTGTTGAGATTGGGCCTAAGTCTCTGGGCAACACCATATAAGACGCCATGTTTCCTTCTACGGGAGCTCTTGAGGAAAAAATACATTTACTGATTTCTAACAAACGGTTACAAACTTTCACCATGCACAAAAGTTGTTTTACACGTTTACCTCTTCACTCATTGCCAGTGATGAAAGGGAGTCTGATGTGCTCGATAGTTTGCGGAAGTTTGCACTCCCCGGGGCTTTTTGACCCTAATGGACATCTGTTGGTAAGGTCTTACTCCAACACAAAAATACCGTTTGCTTGCAACGATTTACGCATCTACTGCCCCATATCGCCAGGAACAACACACACTGTCTGTCATGGTCTGCGTCTTCCTTCATGTGTCTCCTGATGTTTCTCCATCCCTCTCTAGATTCCCTTCTGTGTCTCATAGCGCCCTCATGTGTCCTTTGTCTGTGTCTCATTTATGTGTCTTCTGTTTGTAGGCCTTCATATCATTCCCTCAGGTCCGGTGTTCATTTAGCCCCCTCCAGTTGTAGCTCCAGCCTCTTGTTCCCCAGCTCAGTATGTGTGTATTAGTGTGTGTGTGTATGTGTGTGTGAGTTTATGTGTGTGTCAGTGTGTGTATGTGTGTGTGTGAGCCCTTCCCTCTGTCTTTAGGTTTAGGTTTATTTGCCCTCCTCTGTTTCTGTTTTCCCATTTAGATAATTATATTCACCTGTCTTCCCTCCAGCCCTCACTCCACACACCTGCTGCCATTTTCCCTAATTACCTCCCTCTGTGTTTATAAGCCTTGTCTTGTCACTCTGTGGTTGTTGGTTCATTGTCTTGGTCAGCGTTGTTTTGTCTCTAGTCTCAGTCTTTAGGTCTCTGCTCAGAAGGTGAGCTTTTGGATTTTGGGCTTAGTTTAGTTATTGGGTTTTTGCCTTTGCCCCTTGGATTTTTGGTTCTCCTCCTAAATAAAGGATTTTTACTTTTCAACCGCTCCTGCCTGTGTGTTCTGGATTTCCTGCACCTTGGGTCCAAACCTCCTGCTCTCAGCGTGACACTGTCACTTTAATGCGTTGCTGAAATTTCATTTTTCCTTCTTATTTGAATGCTTGCCAATAAGGTAACAAATCAGAACTTGGTATTGGCAGATACTTAAAATCAAATGTCCTGGAATCGGATCAGGAACAACAAAATGTGATCGGAACATCCCTAGTGCTATCTTATTGTTGCATGAATTAGCATTTTGTGTCTCTGTCCAGAACTCCCACTTCATTTTGTCAGGAAAGATGAGAGTTCTGAGTGACCAGCAGCTCTGGAACCAGGAGAGGACCTCCAGTTTGGACCAGGAACAACCAGAACCTTTACAAGAGGGACCAGAACCTCCACAAATCCAAGTGGAGCAGGAAGAGCTAGAACCTTCGCAGATTCTAGGACAAGAGGAGCTCTGCATCAGTCAGGATGAAGAGCGTTTTGTAAAGAAGGAGGAGGCGGTGCCCTTTCTTAATGAGCCAAAACCAAACAGCCACCAACTCCTTTCTTCTGTGTTTTCTGAGGCTGAGATCAGAGCCGCTGCTCCTGCAGAGTCAACAGGCGATGGGTGGATGTTTCTATCTCTCACAGTAAGAATTTTTGGAGTGAATCATTTTAGACAGATAATTCCTAACACTCAAACTTTGGTCCTGTCTAGAACTTCCAAAGCATCATGTCTGGGAAAAGGTTGGTTCTGACTGAGCAGCAGCTCTCTAACCAGGAAACAACATCCAGTTCGGACCAGAAGGAACCAGAATCTCCGCTGATTAAAGAGGAACAGCAGGAACTCAGCATCCGTCAGCATGAAGAGCATTTCATTCTGAAGCAGGAAAAGGTTACCATGGTAACCTCTCCTGAAGAAACAAACTGTTGAACCAGAACCAAACAGGAACAAACCATTGTGTCTGAGTTTTTCTGAAGCTGAGAGCCAAAATCATGATGGACGTGGGAATGAAAACAACAAAGATCTGACACGAAATAAAAAATGTCAACAAACCAAAGATCACAGAGATGGCCAAAAACTAAAAAGGTAGGAAAAGTCGGACTTTTTGAGACAATTAAACAAAAGCCTTTATAGCATTTATAGCATTTAACACACACACACACACACGCACACGTCAATAACTATTGACAAAGCTACCCAGATGAAAAGCAAAACGTCTTCAAGAACCCAAAGAAGTCTCGTTGCCTTTATTTGAACCGTTTTGGATTATATCGCAATATATTTTGCAGCACGTGTTAATGATATATATGACGTTAGGGCCAGCTCAGAGAGTCTCGGTAGGATGTTTATCTTCCAGGATTGGTCCGCATAACTGTCAGTCATTCTGATGAAGCTTTCATGCTATTGGCTGTGTTCGAGATGAGCCAGTTCTGCGAAGATTAGATCACCTTGATCGGCGAGCACTGCATGTCGGTTAGATTTGTGTCCGACTTGCTCTGACGTCATGCATACGTAGGCAGCGATAACCTCGTGAGATCAAGGCGGCCGCAGATTTTGGAGCAAGGTGCTGCAGTTGCTCTCCACCGGCTGCTAAACCTAGAGGATGACGGGAAACGCCTGGCTCTCACCTGATCTAAGATCTGATTGGTTCACATGTTGATCCAAACATCCGGTGGTAGAACATGAAATATTAGTTGGTCACATGTATTCTGTAAATCATGTAACGTTGATGATGACAACTATATAGGCCATAAAGAGAAATGTGATTTGTGTTCTTTTGTTACGTTTTCTATGAGCACACTGAAGCTACAGCTGCTAACCTTTACTTATTATTACAGTCATGTCTTCATATACAATATGATATCCACAAGCACGTGAGGATGTGTTTCGGTTGCTAACAGGCACCAGAATTAAAATAAATAATTAAACACGTATGAACTCTGACGCGATATCTTCATCCATCGTCACCCGCGAGCTACACTTGTCGGGAAATCTGTCCGACATAAACGCCGGCTTCCTGCTGCATCTGTCTGCTCTCGTCTGTTGTCCAGGCGAGGCGCTGCTCAACTCGGACACGCCCGTTGTTGTATGTGCTCGATCCACCCAGTCCGGGTTCCCTTATTACAGCGGCGGGCTACCCCTAAGTCCGGGCAGGCTGAAGCTCTGTCCCTGGACCAAACTTTTGAAGCGGGGGGGTGTTTGCTGCATTTTTGTCGTGAAAAAATAACGTTTCAACCAAGCACTGTATGCTTTTTATATTTTAAAAGAGAACCAAATAATGTACTCGAGTAAGAGTAAAGTCACTTCAGAATAAAATGAATCAAGTAGAAAAATGAAGTAAAGAGTATATTGTGAAAACATTCCTGATGTAGTAATTGTTTGATTATTGTAATCAGAAATGCCAAAATCTAAAATGATGTGACATTGTGAGCGTCCTGTCACAACGTCCCGATTGATCATGCGCCCTGGCTACTTAGCCAAGGGGATGTTTCTTTAGCTGACTGGTTAGAGCGCATGACTCTCAACCAGGAGTCTAGGGATCGAATCCCGCCCGGGCCCTCGTTTATCCACCTTGCCACAATAAGATGCATGAAGTTTGAGTCTCTAGTTAGTATCTCCTTCACCTGAGTCATCTTTCCTGCCTAAACCTAACTGAAGGATCTAGCTCCTTCACCACCAAACACACCATCTGTGCTCATGTGGAGTCCACATTGTCTGCATCCACCACTGAGCTCCCAGCATGTCCTCTTGGTTTGAGGACTCATTTCAAATGCAGTAAACTGATATGAAAACCAGGCCTTTAGGCAAAGACCAGTTAAATGTCTTTATATTTCAATTAAACTCTATTTGCTACATCATAGCAGCTTCATGTAGTCCGAGGAGCTCCCCTTTCTTTTTTGTTTGGCTCAAGAGAAGTTCCGGTAAACACTCCAGGTCGGTAGGTGGTGCTGATGCACCTCGAGTTGTTTGCTAACCGCCATAAAACCGAAAAGAAGACGACTACAACACTGCGCATGCGCCCTCACCCGTTCCTCTCCGAGCTGCAGGAGAAAAGCCTGGTAGGGTTCTTGTTGATTTAAATGTATATTTTTGTTTCTGCAGACGATGTGAGCGCAACAAGGTGCAACCTTACGGGTTAGTCTGAGTTTGAGACACGGTGAGACTAACTTAAACTCTGAATGGATGTTTACAAACCTTAGAGCAGAGTCGTGTTTACTAGATTTGTTCACTCCGTGGTTCACTACGGTCAGCCATGGCTTTTCATACCGTGAGCTGTGGCAGAGACGGCGGTTAGCTGTACTCCGTGGACTCGCTCCTGGAAGCAGTAGGTCACAACAAACACAACATATTAATGGCTTTTATTCATTTACCAAAAGTCAATTCTCAATTTTGTTCGTTAGCTCGACGAAGAGTTTTAGAGTTTAGTTTTAGTTTGAAAACAGCAGCGAGACTCCGCCTCTCTGAGCTTCAGTTTCATGTTTAAATGCGGATTATAAACTACACAACTGTTTTTATTTTTGTTAACAGCCCAAGTTAAACCGTCCGGAGTTGCACTAAAAACAATAAACTACATTTTTAGACCATTAGCTGAATGATGTTTCAACATCAAATACCTCCAAAGATTTTTGAGGACAATCAAGGAACAGTAGCATTGGCAAAGAACCCTGTAAACAGGCAGAGGTGTGAACGTATGGATATTAAATATCATAAGATCAACAGTCAAAGCTGGTAATTTGATTTTGGAATATTGTTTGACTTGTCTGATGGTTGCAGATGTCATGACAAAGCCAGCAACAAAGGCAAAGCTATGCAAGTTCAAAAAATATATGTTTGGAGTGTAAATATGTAATGGAAACTAACATTGTATTTTCTTTTCTTTATGCCTCTTTGAAACTTCCTAATGATTTCTTTTAAAGCAAATATGCACAAATCTGTGCTAAGCTTAGACTTGAACCCAAACTGGTTATCTGTACAGTATAGGGCTGTCGCGGTAACCGCAAAAATGAAATATCGCGATATGAAGAAGCCCACCGCGCTGCATCATGGGCCACCGCGATTACTGAACTTGATTCAACTCAATGATGCATGTTGAGAAGGATGGCTGCACTGGTATCAAAACGAAACGTTACTTCGCTCCTTTGGGAGCGCTTTGGTTTTCTGTACGTCAGCTGCTGCGCAGCCAGGGTCCTTGGCCGAGACGGAGCTGCCACCAGCGGCAAAAAATAAATAAATAATAAACGCTCGGAGACCTGCTGAAGCCCCGGACAAGCTCTGCTTCTGCAACCGTCCCGAAGAGAGTTTGAGCCGAGCTGGAGCTCACTCGCTACCTGCAGGAGGAATGCATCCACCCTAAAGAACCCCCCTGACACGGTGGAGCAACAACCGGGAGAGATTCCCTTTGCTCGCCAGTCGCACGCAATTACGTGTGCGTTAGTGCAACGAGCGCACCATCCGAGAGGGTTTTCAGTGTTGCTGGAAATGTTGCCACCCCTCTCAGATCCTCTCTCAAACCATGTATGGTTAACATGCTGGTTTTCCTTGTGGGTAACAAGGACGTGACCGAGCTATAAATCACCGTCATTCGTGTGTGTGAGAGTGAAATGATAGTGCGCCCGCCCGGTACATGTAATTTTTTATGCTTGATTTTAAACAACTAAACAAAATGGGGACTTGTTTCTTATTTGTTAGATGCTGCAGCCAAATTTGCATTTAAAAGTTTAACCTTCTCCTGAATTTTGTTGTTTTTAAGTTCAGTCGGACTCCGACTGTCGGAGAAACAAACGTTACTGCGATCTGTGTTGTTACTGCCCTTTGATCTGCATTCAGTAAAGTGTTATAAAAGAAGGCACGGCAATTTTTAACCTTTTTTAAATCTGTGAACATTATGTTTAGATAGTACTGCAATAAAAAAAAGTGCTGCAATAATATCACACACCGCAATATTAAGCCACCCTGAATCACCGCAGGGGGAATTCCTCAACCGCGACAGCCCTAATACAGTAGATAAAATCCTTTAGTCTACTTAGTAGCACTTTTTCCATAACCTTGGATACAATGCTTGCCAATGCAATGGGTCCATGCTACCTGCTCGACCTGCTTTGTCTTTTATGACAGGGACCAGAATAATAGACTTAAGTGCATCAGGCAGAATGCCATGTATCAAACAACTAGTAAAACAGATGGCCAGTAGAGGTAATAATCTAAAGTTGGTATATTTCAGATGTTCCGTGTATATTCCATCCAGTCCACAAGATTTACTGTCTGGAAGCTCAATCACTGCTTGACGAACATCACAAGCTGTAACACTAATGGACTCAGTGCTGTTTATCACTGTTACATTCATTTGTTCACTACATATGCAGTTAAATAGAGCATCATAATCAGTGTCCGGAATTAACACTCGACAAATGCGAGCAAATTGCTCCATTTGGCTAGTAAATTTTTGAGCTCTACCTGCCACCTGGCGAGTAAATGTTTACACCAAATTAGTTATGTTTATCAGTCATCTTCCATGGATTTCTGATACTCCTCCCGCCTGCATGCAATGTACACAAACATACGCGAAACGTGAATGCCGCATCCCAACATCATTTCCACCTATTCTATTCAATCAGTTTATCAAGTTAGCAGTTAGCTTCGTGTTAAAACTAGTGGTGGGCTCCTTGTTTTCATCACACCTAACGGTCAAACAAAGATCAGAATAAGTTCACAAGCAGTAAACAACTAGCAATCATTAAGAAGCAAACATAATATGGTGGTAATTCATGGTGTTGTGCTAATTAATAAGTAGGCTAATTAAATTAAATTGTACAAGTTAGTTCTAACCAAGTAATTTGATTGGACAAGAGACATTCCTTGAGTGCTGATATTGGAGCACAACAACACTGGGACCTTTTACAGACAATATCAGGCGTTCTAATGTTATGTTGTGTTATTTTTGTGTTGCCTGGCAACAGCTTTCTAGTTGGAACTATTTGTGTTGGCGGAGCTAAATAAATGATTGAATAAACTAACAAATTATAATCTTATGTCGCTTATTATTGTTAAATAAGAAAATTAGCTCTTAGAACTGTTGTATAAAAACAATATCACATGAGAGGGAGTGCTGTTGTGCCAAATATCAGCACTGGTGTGATTATGTATTAATAATAATAATCACACAAATGCATATATTCAACACAACAGCACTCCCTCTCGCGTGTTAACCTCTCGGTTGATTATGACATTTAAAAGGACATAGCCTACCTAAAGCAAAGGAGTGAATTTCCCAGCTGGCATGGATGAGGTGTGCAGTAACACCGAGGTAGTTATCATTACTGACAGAGGTCCAGTGGTCCCCAGTCAGTGCTACACAAGTTGCCTCCACCAACTTCTCATCTTTCGCGGCTTTTTCTGTTGGATGCTGGTCATGTATTTTCCTCACGATTGTTCGCCTCGCAGGTAGTTTGTAGGATGAGTCACCCGTGGCCGCCTGGAGAACAAGCTCGAGCCCATCATCTTCGACCACGTTGATGGGTCGGCAGCTCGTGGCAATCCACTGAGCAAGGAGATTAGTGAGCTTACTTGATAGAGCTGCACTGATGGGCTTGCCTCGGTTGCACTCAAACATAGTAGTTTGACGAAAACTCTAACCCCTGCGCAACACTTGGTCCAGCATCTTCCAAATTAGGTAAGGGATGCTTTGCGTTTAGGTGGTACTTGAGACCGGAAGAACTTCTACAGTAAACAAATTCCGCATTGCACAAGGTGCAAACAACTTTAGTCTTGTCAAGGTTTCCATTGGGAAGCTTCTTAAAAATAAATTTTCCCTGGAGCAAACCCAGCAGCTTCATAGGTGCATCCATGTCGGCGCGTCACGTTTGAAGATTCCTCTGGCGTTAAAGATGTTCTCTTTCACGCGTAGACATCCGCGCGTTATATGTCGATGATCCGCGCCGAGTATACATCCGCGCCAACCAGGTATCCATCCGCGCAATGGGAATGTCATCAAGCTTAGTATAGACGACCCAGATCCCAACCCAACTTTGAGAATATATTAACGGCGTCTTTTTTTATTGCACGATAAGAGTCTGGCTTTGCCGCAGCACGTTAACGCCGATAACAGCCCACCCCTAGTTAAAACCAAAACTAGCGGTGAAATGTGGCGGTTTTTAACTGGAGTCAGCCAGCCTTCCAAAAGAAAACTCGTCGAACTGGAAGAAAAACCACCAGGACCAGTGGCAACCA